AGGTTCGGTAAAGAGCCTGAACTTTTCCTGGAGGCCGTAGCAGTTGAAGGGTATTAACCAGGAAGATGGTATAATCTTTACTATTCTACATTGTCTGCAATTTGTTTCTAGTTAACTTACCATGTAAAACAAACTGCAGCAAATCTCAAACGACAGGTTTCTAGTTAACCGGGGGGATATCCCTGTGGGAGTGAGATTTCTGGACCAAAAGATAGGCTCATTGAAGGCCTTTTTTGCTGTCAAGTTTCCTTTCAGAAACTCAGTGTCCACTTCCCTCACCACCAGCAACACCCTTCTCTCTTATTTGGTTAACATTGAAAAAATTATCTTTGAAGAAAATATCCTTCCCCATTTAGTATTTTTTTGAAGTGAACTTCAGTTCACGGAGGGTTTTATATTACCATGTTTAAAAAATTAGCACAACTTAATTTCAAAAAATTAAATGATTGCCTGAGCATAGTTGAATAATCCAAAATGCCCTCACATTGATGTTTAAATGTCATTAGTGAGTTAATACTTCATTGCTAATACCATATTATGTGAGTTATTTTATCTTTTTGAAAAACATTTTCAGATTTGTTTATGTGTGTGCTTGTTTTGCCTACATATATGTCCATCTGTCACCCGTGTGTCTGTCCAGTGCTCCAGGAGGACAGAAGACTATGTCTTATTCCCTGGAACTGGAGTTACTGACATTGTGAGTTACCATCTGGGTGCTTGGAACTGAACTCAGGTCCTCTGCACAAGCTGAAGATGAAATAGAATTAGATAAAATTGGGAACTAGACAGATGTCTCAGCAGATAAGAGCACTGGCTTCTCTTCTAAATGATCCAGGTTCGATTCCCAGCACCCACGGGTCACTCACAACTGTTGGTAACTCTAGTACCAGGGTATCCTGTACCTTTTTCTGGCCTCTGTAGACACTGCAAACATATAGTACACAGATATACCTGCAGGCAAAACACCATACACGTAAAATCCTATACACAATAAAATCAAGGTAAATTTATTTTTATGGGGCAGCAAATGCTTTTAACTGCTTAATCATCTCTCCAATTCCCAATTTTCACCTTTTAATTCTATTTTTTTAAAAGCAGGTTAAGAAATTACTCTATTATTGCATCTTCTCTTCCATAAATCTTTAGAATTGTTTTGTGTCTTTTTGGCCCCAAATTCTAATAACCTCAGATATTTAGATTGAAATTAGACCAGTTTTAGGGAAAGCAGCAGTCTTTGTAGTTGTGAATCTTGTGCTCCAGGGTAGAGGGTGTCCTTTCAATTTGTTCAGATCTTTGGGGTCAGAATCGACTCAACATTTCAAATTTTTAAAGATTAATTTTTATTTATTATTAGTGTGTGTGCATGGGCTTGTATGTGCCGTAGCACATGTGTGTGGAGATGAGAACAACACTTCCATGAGTCAGCTCCATCATATGGGACCTAGGAAATGAACTCAGGTTGAGCTAGGCTTGGCAGCGAGCATTTTTACCTGCTATGCCGTCTTACTGGACCCTCCCCAGCGCTGCAGAGTTTTAGTTGTACCAGACCAGCATATTCTGCATAAAACTTCCATTTTTCAGTTCATAGAATTATAGAAATGTTCTTATATTTCTAAGGGCTGGCTTTTCTCACTTATAAAATTAAGGAGGGAATATAACAATAATATTAAATCATATATGTAAGATATACATTGTGTTAGCTGAATTCTGGGGAAATTGGCCATTTTATGTTGCATATCTTTGTTTCATATTTATACATGAATATAATTATGAATTATTTTTGAATTCTTTTTTCCCAAAGTTTTCAGTTAATTTTATGTCTTGGATAAATTTCAAACCATGATACCTCGTCTGATAGGTTTATTCTTTGGTTAGAGAACAATTGTTCTGTTTGTTGAGACAAGGTGTCCACTGGCAGACTACTGTAAAGGCTTCAAACTTCCCAGTCTCCTGCCTCCAGCTACTAAATGCTGGTGTTACAGGCGTGCGGCACTATGTCCAACCTCTGCTCATTTTTTTTTTTCTCTATTAGTTACACCTTCTTTTTGTCCTTTTGTTTTAGCCCTTTTGTTTTACTTTTATACTAAACTGCCTTTTCTCCCTTTATTGGCAGCTATTCTTCCTGCTGTTTTAATTATTTGCCCATTTGGATATGTGCCCATACAATTAAAAATTAGAGTACTTCTCTAAAACAAATCCAGGTATGACTTGTGTTTCAATAATATTGATAAATAAAGGCTTAATTTGTGTCTGTGTGTGTGTGTGTTTGTGTGTGTGTGTTCATGCCTGGGTATGCACATGTGCCACACGTGAGTGAGGAGGTCAGAGGACAGCTTGCAGTTGATTCTCTCTTTCCACCACATGGGGCCCAGGATTGAACTCAGGTCCTCAGGCTTGACAGCTGGCCATCTTGCCAGCCTAGTCAGAGATTCTGGAGTCTGGATCTTTCTAGGGTTCATGAATATTTTCTTCTACTATATTTACTTTTCTTTTTTTTTTTTTCTATTTCTTTTCTTTGTTGTACCACAAGAAGAATCCCTATTTCCTTGTAGCTTGTTGGGGGATTGTTCTCAATTTCTAGAGTCCACCTGCATTCTATGGCATGTATCCTCTTCTAACTTTGGGCCAGTAGCAGAAGTTGAGAGCTTCTCGGGCTTTAAGACAGCCCCCCTCACCTCTGGCTTCCACCTCAGATACTCCTATTTCTGAAGGTTTGCATGGTGATACTGGGTCCACCATGACAACACAGGATTATCTCTAAATGTGTAACCTTAGTAAATTCACTTGTGTCCTCCTTGCTGTAGACTATGGTGCGAGCACATATTCTGAGGGTTTACAGCATTAGGACATGGGCGGAAGCTACTACACTGCCTACAACTTTAGGTTAATTTTTGAAAATGCTTTCTGCTTCATGTTGCTGTCTAGATTTTCTTCAATATTGGCTTACCAAGTTCCCTCTCACTGTGACCCTAAAAGTAGAAGTTTTAATAATGAGTGTATGCATGAGTTGTATCTGTTTAAGGGGCACCCTCAATGAGTTTTGACAGATGCTCATTTCTGCAACAGCAGCGGGGTTGGAGGCAGGGACAGTAATTCTTTTCAGAGATGGCTACTCAAGTGAAGCTGAGTTACTTTATTTCACAGCAGAACATAGTTTCAGGACCAGATAGTATGAAGCAGAGCTGGAGAGTATTCAGAGGAGAGTGTAAAGTAGACAGAAGCTTGGGGGTTATCAGACTGAGGTTAATAAGCCACACCCCAGCATGGCTGTGGGCTCCCAGGAGAGTCAATCAAGTGTCTTAGTCATTGCATACAGGATTTGGGAAGCATTTGGAAGTACTTTGTTCAAAGGCTTAGTAAATGTGGGACATTAATATTGGGAACTGCATCTCTTCTTGCTTCTCGTGCTATCGAGCAGATGTCTAGCAGACAGACACCGTTTGACACATGGGAGCCTGAATTCTGCTTATACAATGAATCACATTGTATTTATCTCACTTAGTATAGTGTGAAGTCAAATATCATAATCATAGGAGAGGTGTTCGAGTAAATAAACCTGTTGACTGACATTACTCAACCCAGAGTTTTCCAAACTTGATCTGTCACTGAATTTTCACCTATCACTTTATTTTCTTTTAAGTTTTTAAAAATGTATTTGTGTATATGTGTATATGTATACATGTGAATATTGTGTGTGTGTGTGTGTGTGTGTGTGTGTTGTGTGTGTGATAAGTATAGGCATGTATGTCACAGAGCATGTGTGGAGCCCAGAGGAAGACTTTTAGGAGTCAAGAAAGAGTCGCACCCTCTGCCTTGTTTGAGGCAGAGTCTCTCTTGTCTCTGCCACTATTCTGCATTTTCCAGGTTAGCTGGCCCTTGAGTTTCTGGGTCATTCTCCTTTCTCCACTTTTCCATAGGAGGGCTAGGAGAGCCCACTACCACATCCAGCTTTGTAATGGTCATACAGCAAGCACTCTTACCCACTAAGCCACCTCCCCACCCTCCTGTCACTTTATTAATATCCTGTGATACAAAGTATTGCTTCAGAGTACCTTATGTGTACGTGTCCCTGCTGAACCTTGTGGGTTTTTTTGTTTGTTTGTTTGTTTTTATTGAATGAGTACAAGGGTTAGAAATATTTTCTGAAGAGGTCCAGAGAGCAAATATTTTAGGTTACAAAGAATAAATGTTCTGTTTGTAAACATTTGGTTCTGCCCAGTAGCAGAAAAACGCCATAAATGAGAGGTTGACAAATGAGTGTGGCTGTGTCCCTGGTACGGTTTTCATTATAGACACTAAAATGTGGATTCTGTTTAATTTTCATATGTCACAAAATATTACCCTCTTTCATCACCAACAGTGTCAAACTATAAAAGTCATTTGTAGCTGATGGGCTGTTACAAGAACAGTTCTAAGCTGGATTTGATTTGAGAGGCCCTGTCTGACAACCCTTATGACTTAGTGGGTAATAATTCGAGGTAAAGAATAAATGTTTCACTCTAAGTCTGGTTTGTGGGCTCCCACCTATGTTCAAGAACATTTAGAAGCCCAGGTATTTGTTAAACACAAAAGGAGGACAATGTAGCTTCATTAACTGTGCACACACGTTTGCCTTACCCTGAAGCTCTTCTGGAAAAGGTTCAACAATACTCCCCATTACAAAGGAGAAGCTCACCATCAACTGGCTGAATAAAGACTAGTGAAAATACCCATCTTGTAAATGGAATCACATACTTATCTCTGAGTGATGGCTTATTCATTACATCTTTAAAAATGTTGTAGTGCTTTATGCTGATCTTAGCCCAGAACTTTGATTTGTGTGTGTGTGTGTGTGTGTGTGTGTGTGTGTGTGTGTGTGTGTGTGTGGAGGCAAAAAGAAGACTTCTCTGTTGGTTGTAAATTTTAAAAGACATTAACTACATAATTGACAGTCACCAGAACCATAGCATTCCTCTTATGGCCCACATATGACCCCTCTCCCGGCTTCTGATGTTTCTCAGGTTCATCCCAGAGCCCTGGTCAGCCTGCAGCACCACGTGTGGGCCTGGCATTCAGGTGCGCGAGGTGAGGTGTCGGGTGCTCCTCACATTCACACAGACAGAGACTGAGCTCCCTGAGGAGGAGTGTGAAGGTCCCAAGTTGCCCACCGAGCGACCCTGTCTCCTTGAAGCCTGTGACCAGAGTCCTATGTCTCCAAAGCTGAGTGGCACTCTCCAGGAGAAGGACAGTGAGATGATTTACGACTGGGAGTATGCTGGTTTTACGCCCTGCACTGCAACATGTTTGGGAGGTATTCAAACCCCTTCCTAAGGGATAGATAATGTGGCCTATTAAGAAGGGTATGACTTCATCCCTTAAGCCAGATATGCAAATTAACAAAAGTCTAAAAGGGATGAATTTATTCAATAGCAAAACTATGTTTTTTCTTTCTTTTATATTTTCTAACTTATTCTTTATTAACCAGTGAACCTCAACCCCTCTTGGTGAAGCAGATTTTTAGGTCAATTAATCTGGGCTAATCAGTGAGCCCCAGGACAGTGAGATGCCATGTTTCAGAATCAAGGTACATGGTTTCCTAAGGAACAACACCCAAGGTTGATATCTGGCCTTGTTAGTCACTTGTACCTGCATGTATGCATGTACAAACACTTGATTTAAAAGAAAATGTAACAACCAGGAAAATTAGAAATTTTACTAACAAGAAAGAGCCTAGTTTCCCAAGTGATCCAGGACCCTGCCACTCTGTCCTGTAAGTCTTGACTTTGCTGTCCAGCCAGCTGCTATGCAGTGGGTTCACTCCCTAGGCACCTTCTGGTGTCACCCCTCAAAGAAGGTCAGAAAGCAAAAGCAGCAGCTACCCTGATCTGTTGGCTTATGAGCCTGCTCCACTCTTGTTGGGGCTCTTGAGATGGTGGCTTAGAATGCCCTAGTAGGTAAGAACTCAAAGGCAACCACTGTGACTCAACCCCTCACTTTTGTGACTAAATTCTCAGTCCTTGCCCTCCAGTGTCCCTTACCTTCTTTCCCTTCTCTGTCTGTTTCAGGCTCTAAACACACCCACTCTGGAGCTCTGCTCTGTCACACTCCCACTTTGGCACTGAGCTCAGCTGAAGTGGCATGTGCCTTACTCAAGGCCATAGCAAAGCTACTGTTTTGTGTTTGGAGCTGTCTTTGAGGAATTTAGAGAAGGGACCCGTAGCTGAGTCAAGTGCACTGGGGCATGCCTGTGGACCCCATACTGGAGAAGCAGAGGCAAGGAGATCAGGATTTTCAAGATTACCCTGTGCTAGTGAGTTTGAGGCCACCCTGGGCTACACAAGAGCCTTAGCTGTCTCCATTTCTTTCCCTCTCTCACTTGCTGTACCCTCATTCCAAGAAGTTCATTCCATCTCACTAGGAATTTAGCCTTTCTGATTTACCTGGACCTGAAACACAAGCATGTCTCTTATCTCCAGAGCCTCAGTGTCCTCCAAAGCTGTCACGTTTGCCCCAAACTTAACACCCTTCCTCCAAGCTCAGGACCTCGGATACCTCTATTTATACATCTTGGAAACCATAACACTGTCAAGTCTTGGCATATAGAAAGTGCCTCTTTCTCTTGATGAGTCCTACAAGCAGTGGAAAGAATAAAAGTTGAATCAGCTCACTCTGGACTCATTTTAACATGCTCCCTGAGGAGATGTGTTCCTGACACGGTACATTAGCCCTCATTGTTTAGCTCTCTCCAAATCCCTTCAAATCTTGACAGGCCACGAGTGGTAGTTTTTTTTTCAGCTACTCTTAATATAATTGGTCACTTCCTGTCAGGCCCCAGTGATGTTTATGGTGCCCATCATAAGGCCAAACAGCCTTCAATAACCTTTAATCTTTACCAGCTGTTTCTTCATGGTTTCCTGAAAAGAAGGCACCTGTGTGGGACAGTGAGTGACTGGCACATTTTCTAAAGTGTGGCACTGTTCTCTGGACTTCTCTGGATCCATAACATACTGTTTCCTCTCTTCTCATTGCCTGAAGGGTTGTAATAGTTTGCACTTAATCATACTAGCTAATCTTTTCAATATGATCTCAGGCACAAGTATGCACACACATATATATCACATACAAATATCACACACATACACATATCACACACATACCTCCAGGCATATATCACACCCCTTATATGTGAGGGTGTGGTATGAACTTTTCAATAACCTAGCTCAAATTGATCAAAACTAACAACAACAAAAAAAGTACGTGTTCTTTGGGGTCTTTTGTTTGTTCTTTGAGATAGGGTATTACTATATAGCCCTAGCTAGATTGGAACTCACAGTGAAGACCAGGCTGACCTCACACTCATAAAGATCTGCCTGCTTCTGCCTCCCAAATGCTGGGATTAAATGAGTGTGCCACAATTCCTGGCTGTATATTTTATTGGCTCTGCTTCCACTGTTAGAATCTTTGTTTACCCATTCATCATTTATTTATTTCTTGATGAAGAGTTTGAGTGTATATTTTTATATCCATGTGCATATAGATGTGGTAGATGTGGCCATGTGCCATCACATACATGATTAGGGTCCCGTTATATGGTATCATGTAGAGATGTCACTTCTGTCTTGTTTGTGCAAGGGCACTATGTTTGCACAATGAAAGATTACCCAGGAACATATTTCTTTGAATGTTTCCTTGTTATTGCCATATGACTGTGTGTGTGTGTGTGTGTGAGAGTGTGTGTGTGTGTGTAACTGGGAAATGGCACTTTTATCAAAACACTGTAGAAATCAAGTATGAGGGATATATTCTCATATAACAAAAGGAATTTATTATATACACTCCATTGAACACACTAATTAACATGCTCTAAGCATCAAAATGTAGTGACCTGAATTTTGTTAGGAATAAAATGAACTTATTTTCATAAATTTTAAATTTTACCTTTTTCTGTTTTAAAGATCACTATTTGATCAAACCTCCTCCAGAAGTAAGAAGTGTTAAAATCGTTGTTGGATCATAATGTGGTCTAGGAAATATTTTGTGGCTACCTTTGGAAAATATATTCTACACCAATAAATATTCCAAATTATTTAGTAGATTCTTTAACTTTTTTTCTGTTGGCAAAAAGTATGTCATGGGTGTTGTAAATTCTATCTAAATGATTTCAAGTGGTGCTCTAAGACCTTCCCCCAAGTCTGTCTGCATAAAATATTCCAAAATATTCTGAATATATGTTTAAAGAATTTGTTAACAAGTTGAAATGCATTTGAAATATGAATGCAGTTTTCTTAGATTTAAAAGAGAAAACAAAATCTATTAGGAAATGAGCATCCATTCTCCTATGAGGCTGTTAAGAGATTTGATATTTTGAAATAAATGTTAGAGTTATTGGGCTGTAGCCATGTCTTCTTGTATTTGGGGGTAATCAGAACTTGTTTGAAACACTCAAAGAGGATGTCTGCTGACTGCCTCTGGCCATCACAATGCAGACGAAGACAGTGTGAGAAAATTTATCAGAACTGAGCAAAAAAAAAACAAAACATCCATCTTACAAGTATTTTGGCCTATACTATATTCTGCAAAATGCTGTAAAATGGTTGAATTGAAACATGGCATTCAGAAAAAGGGCCACAAACTTGTAACATAACGGAATGTGTATTTGACATGAAAGTGAATATATTTGCGTATTTCAAATAATAGTCACTGTTTTCATTAGATTTTTTTTACATAAAAAAATTTGAGTTACATTTCACCCAATTCCAAGTTTCCAATAATTTTTCATTTTTGTCTCAACAGACAAAGAATACTGATTGAGAGCATTGGCTTTAGAAGTCACATAGATTTGTCTATCTGGCCTCTAAGGGAAAATATGACCTCAAATGTTCACATTTACACAAGGACCATTACAGCATGTGAAGGCCATGGCCACATTCTAGAATTCCCAGAGCACAAGACAGAGACTGCTGAATCCAGAGGCAGGGAATTTATTCTTCCATGTAATTTTTCCCACCTACGTATCTATTTTTTTAATCTTTGCATTCTCAGGTGTGTGTGTGTGTGTGTGTGTGTGTGTGTTGCATGTGTATATGCATGTCTGTGCTTATGTGTGTGGATGCAGATGTAGAGGCCCTAAGTGATGTCAAAAATCACCTTTGATAAGTCATCCACTTTATTCACTGAAGCAGAGTCACTCAGTCAAACTGTGAGCTCATGGATATGGGTTCCGCTAGTCTCCCTAGGCAGCCTGCTGTGGGGAGCCCAGCTCTCTGCCTTCTGAGGCTGGAATTCAGATGAATGGCCACACCCACTGAACATTTACTTGGGTTTGGGGATCTAAACTCTGCTCCTCACCCTTGTGCAACAAGCACATTAGGGGCTGAGCCATCTCCCCAGGCCAAATCTTCAGTTTTTATTTCACCACTGTTTCAGTCTTAGTTTCTCTCTAAATTTCAAATTCCTTATTGTTACATATGTACAACAAAGATATGAATGCTGTTTTCTTGGCCTCATGAGTTGTAGACTTGGATGAAAGGACACCACACACTTCTGCAATGGGAGGCATTTCTGCTGATAAAAGCATCACTAATCACTTTCTAATTGTATGATTCAAAGTACAGCTGGATTTATCAATGGGTGGTGATCTAGAAAAAAATGATATTCTTTAGCAGAACATGTAAAGTTTCCCTTAGGAAAACTGTTGTACGTGATGGGAAGATACACCCTGTTTGCAGACATACACCAAGCTTTCCTTAGGAAGCAGATGATTCTGAGTGTTGGCTACTCCTAATTGTTTCCAGGTAAGGAGATTTTGGCAGAGAGAGAAGAGGGTCTGCCTAGAGGTGATTGGAGGAGTGTCAAGGGCTGGAGTCTTGGGCTTTGCTCACAGATGACTTCAGATGCAGTCAAAAGGGCAATGTCCTGGTGATGTCAAGTCCCAAAATCCTGTTTTCTTCTTTGTTTGGTAAGATGTTCTGCATATGTGTTGTCTGTCTTCCTGCCTTTTAGGCCGGCAAGAAGCCATTGCTGTGTGCTTACACATCCAGACCCAGCAGACTGTCAATGACAGCCTCTGTGACCTAGTTCACCGTCCTCCAGCAATGAGTCAGGCCTGTAACACGGAGCCCTGCCCACCCAGGTATGTGCCAGGACAGTAACAGCTGTCTTAAAAGAGAAACTCACTGTGCAGGGAGTCTCACAAACTCATCAAGGTAGATCAGCTCAGCCCACTCAGAGCTCTCGTCTGCTCAACTTATACTGTGGTCCCAGTTTCTCTGAAGTACATTCTAGGGCAACTAAGCCAGGCAGAGTTCCTGTTAAGCTTCCATTTGCATCAAACATCAATGAACACAAACTGCCCTGCTATTATAAAAATCAGCCTTCTTCTGCCTAGTGTCCACAAAGGAGCTTCTCCCTCTGATGGCAGAACATCTGAGGGAGAAGTTACAAGGGCCCACAGCAGGCGCTTCATCTGTAGTTTTGGATAACTCAGTGATCTGCTTGTCACCTAAAACTCACACAGAGATGCTGCTACCATCCTATGCTGGTTAGTTTTTATCAACTTGGCACAAATTAGAGTCATATGGGAAGAGGGCACTGATCTGAGGAACTGCCTCCATCAGATTGGCCTGTGAGCATGATTGTGGTTCATTCACTCTATTAACAACTAATACAGGGAGACCTAACACAGTGTAGGCAGTACAACCCATGGGTAGATGGTCCTGGGTTGTATAAGGAAGCAAGCTGAGCAAACCACAGGGAACAAGCCAGTTCCTCCATGGCCTCTGCTTCTGTTCCTGCCTCCATGTTCCAGACTGGCTTCCTTCAGTGATGGACAGTAACCTGAAAGCAAAAAACAAAACAAAACAAAACAAACAAACAAACAAACAAAAAACCAAGACAAAAAAGCAATATACACACACTCACACACATGCACAAAACAAAAAAACCCCTTCCTTCCCAGTCAATGTTTTATCACAGCAACAAATAAGCACACAAGGACGTGTTTACTTCTGTCTTACCTTAGGTCTCAGATTATGGAGTTTGAAATGCCATAACCCCAGAACAGCTGAGGTTGATTTGTTATGGTCTCTTTGATTTGAAGGACTGACCTTAAAAGTTAATCTGCTTCCTTGCCTTGGTTCTCTTTCCCTGGGTGTTGCTGGCTACAGATGATGGTAACATAACATCATTGGTCTGTCACACAGACCTTTCCCAGCCTGGCCCTGGCTGTCCTTTTCCTTTGTCTACCTTTATTGTGTCAGCCACTCTTTGCTTTAGTAAAAATTAGAAGCCAAAAAAATTGAGAGCCCATTCCATCACCCTTTGTCCTCTTCTGGAATCTTAGTGATTAGTTGTCAACCTGATACGCTGCCTTCACTGTTAAAGGCAGGTTTTGCTATGTCTAGAACTGTAAATGATGGAGGAAGGTTATTGTGTCTACTGTCTGCCATCTGGAGAAAATGTAAGTGTGTTTTATGAACATTCAGGAAACAAGTTATGCTTGAATTCTCTTGATGCTTCTGTGACCCTCCTGCCTAGATGGCATAAGAATGAGGATCAAGGAGGTTGGGCAGCTCTGATCACCAGGTCCTCTGCAGCCTGGACATGGGCATCCTTCCTTCATGATCCTTGTCCTGTATCCTGGAGTGTCTCTAGAGGAGATCAGCTCAGAGGTGCCTCGTGCTTGGTAAAACCTTACCTGCAATGAGATGTCAGTGTTTCCTGTTGATGTGTCTGACTTGGTTGACACCTGTCAAAAATACCGAGAACTTCTTGGCTTCTCTCAGAGCCATCTTTCTGGGCTCAGATGGGATAATGCAGTTGAAGTCAAGACCCAGAAACAGCACAGGGAAGTCTCTCTGCATTGCCTCACATTCACATCTTGGTGATTACATTTCAGAATAATCCACACTAGAAAACTCATTACAGAATAAGCAATATAAATAGGAAGGAGAGTCTGGTCTCATTGCCCAGCAGGACACCCACTTTGTTAGCTGCATTCAGAGCTTTCCATGAGTATCAGTCCAAGGATTCAAAAATTGTTCATTCAAACCAATTGTGAATTAAAGTATTGTTCTCATGGCTCAGGAGTATAACTCAGTATAGAGGGCTACTTAAGAGTCTAACATGTGTAAGGCCTTGTGTTTGATCTCTAGCACTGTGAAAATTTGTTTTTTCTGTCTCAAACATATCCACGTGTTGTCAGATAGACCCACTTTGGAAAGGGGAACATCATTTGAGGAATTGCCTTCATCAGATTAGCCTGTGAGGACATCTATGGATCATTTTCTCAATTGCTGGTTGATGTAGGAAGGTCCTGTCTACTGTGGGCAGCACTATGCCTAGGCAGGTGAGCTCGGGATTTCTAAGAAATTGGTAGCTGATCATGAGCTTGAAAGCGAGCCAGTGAGTGAGCAGCACTCCTTCATAGTCTCTACTTCAGTTTATGATTCCAGATTCCTGCCTTTTTCCTGCCCTGGCTTCCCTTTATGAGGGACAACAAAGTGTTAAGAAATAAACCCTTTCCTCTGCAAGTTGCTTTTTGGCCATAGCATCAAAAAGCAAACCAAGCCATCAGGCTTATTATTTCTTGACACTATTCCCCAAGTAGTATTATACAGCAACTCTTTACACAGTGTTCACATTGCACCAAATACTATGGATAACTGAGAGTACGTTGGAAGGTGGTTAGGTATACACAAAAGTAACAGTCTTATATGAGGGGCTTGGGCAATCATAGATTTTGGTGTCTTCTGGGGAGTGGAGTTGTTTTGGAATACCTGCTGTGGGTTACAAAGGTTGGCTTTATTTGGGTTGGTGTGGATTGTGAATCTGATTGGAAGAACCTGCTCATAATAATATTTGGTACTAAAAGGGCAAACCTTAGTGAACCAATCAGCTCATCCAGATCCCTTAGCCTTCTTCTCATTCTAATACTGAAATCTGAATCAAATATTTCTGGAAAAGCAGGGGCTTTCTGTGAAGCCACCATTCCTTTTACTGTGTGAGACACCAGTGCCACTTCTCAGGAATGCTGTTGAATCTGCTTCTGCAGCTGAGGCCATAAAGTTAATTCCATCTCTGTAGTGTTTTCCAGAAATGTTCAGAGTGCAGCTCTTTCCACACTGTGTTCATCTGTGCACCAGAGCTCAACAGAGGAGTCTTAAAGGGTCTCACAACATGGACAGAAACCTTCTCTGGACTTTAAATACGTCAGGCACAGGAATGAATTTATAACTACCTCCTGTGCTATATATGCATTTCTCTGCTATCTTAGTCAATAACTTCACATCCATTTAGAAATGTGGTGATGAATATATAACATACAAATAACCCTGGCTTCCGAATATGAGAACAGAATTATGGGTTTTGGTGTTGTTGGGAATTTGCCCAAGAACACACAGGCAATAAACTGCACGATACAAAGTCAAACACAAGAATGGAGATTTTTTCATTAAATACTATCTAGTCCAAACTCTGCCTTTTCCAAACCACAAAAAGGAAGCTGCTCCTGGCGGAGCCGATCCCTTGGTTTCCAGCCCTTGCTGCCTGCCATCCCCTTTCTCTGCACTAGCCAACACCCTCTCTCCCTGCTATAAAAGAAATGGTTTGGAATTTGTACAGATTTTAAATGCTGACTGAAGAATGATGAAGCATGAAATTCTCATAGCCATTAGTTGAGACAAGTCAAAAGGAGAAAAGACAACCCAGGACGCTGGGGTACTTTCTCTCCAGATTCAAATGCCATTCCAGACAGGCATAAAGCTAGTTTTTTGTTTAGTTTTTGTTTTTCAAGACAGGGTTTCTCTGCATAGCCTTGACTGTCCTGGAACTCTGTGTAGACCAGGCTAGCTTTAAAATAATAGATCATAGAGATCCACCTACCTCTACCTCCCAAGTGCTGGGGAATAAAGGCATGCATCATGAAGCTAGTTTTTATCAGGGCTCTGTGCTCTCAGGACACTGAAAGAGATGATTTGGGGAAAGTAGATAAGATTGGGTAAACCAGAATGTACCACATCCTGAAGGCACATCACATGAGAGTGATTTATACTATGGCAGGATGGGTGAAGGTCCCAGAACATTGACAAAATTCCTTACTCTGTTTAAAAAAGGTGTGTGTGTGTGTGTGTGTGTGTGTGTGTGTACTCAGATGTCAGAAGAGGGTGTCAGACTCCCTCCAGCTGGAGTTATACTAAGAGGGCCGATGTGGGTATTGGGAATTTAACTAGGGTCCTCAGCTAGAGCAGCAGGGGTAAGAATTGAGAGATTTCTCTATCTAACTTGCAGGGTGGCTGCAGTGTGACTCTCTCATGTGGATCCCACTGGTTGGCTTCCTTTTACCTGAAAACTTAAATCCACTTCCTTTATTTGGCCTAGAGTTAGATTCCTGAGGTGGCCTTAGCAAAGCACAGTAGACTAAGTGGCTGGAAGAACAGAAATTTATCATCTCACAGATCTGGAAACACAAAGTCCAAAACCACAGAGTCAGCAGCACTGGTTCCTTCTGAGGGCTGGGAAGGAGAATCATTTCCAGGCCCCTCTCTGTGCTCATGGCCTCCAGCATTCTGTGGCTTGTCAAGAGTGCTCTTCCCGTGGTTCTGTAGTTCTTTCCCTCAGCACGTCTGTGTCCAGACTTAACCTCTCCATAAGATACCACTCAGGTTGTCTAGAGCCCACTTAAAACTACTCTTTAACCTAACCAACTCCAAAAAACTATTTGTAAATAAATTCTCAGTTACAGATGTAGAAATTATGTAATTTAAGAATTTGACGGGATTGCATTGCAATTCATAATAACATAAAAACTCTTTGCGATCCTAACTCTAACTCTTGAATCACATTTTCTGTGACCACTGCCCTAAACACCTACCCCCACAGAGAGAGAGAGAGACAGAGAGAGAGAGAGACAGAGAGAGAATAAGTCACACTAACACACACTCTCACATTCACTTTGAGGAATTTGCTTTGGAGACACACTCTGTTACTGTGACCCGTGCTTGCTCATGCCCACTCATGAATTCTGGACCCAGTAGAGGATGGATCTCCATTCAACATTTCTGTCTCTAAGGGATCTGAATGGAGAGAATCTCTGAGCCTAGCTCCTTGATCTGAAAATGAACAGTATCAGATAGG